GTACCTTCCACTGCCAGTCAGACACCTCTGTCTCTTCCTATWTGTATGAATTGTACACAGCAAACTTGTTTTCTTCAAAGAAAAATCAAGGAGATAACTTGCCTATTCATACAGAAAACKGACCAGCTAATCTTGAACCTCCTCCACATTTTTGTCTTTAGCTTTGTAGTTTGATCCCTATTGCAGTCAAAATGTTCACTAAAGATGGAAAACTTTGTCTTGAAACKTGTTGAAGTATTCTCATTTCTCTGCTGGTTGTGCAGAAAAAAATACTCTGGATGTTGCACAAAACCTGAGTTGCTCTCTTAGATGGACTTCCTCTCTTTTTTCAGYCATTTGCTGTAACTATATGGAGCAGAACTCAGCGAGTGAAGGAAATGGAGGAAAACAGTTTGAAATTAATTAAGGCTTAAAGTGTAAAATCACATTAGAGATGGGTTTCTGGATATGGCTTCTGTTCTGTCCCTGTCCAGCCAGGATTCATTCTCCCAACAGCAGTCCAACAGGCATTGACACGGACTATCTGCTCCAGTGGTATTCTCCCAGCTGAGGTGCTCAGTGCTCCCAGGCAGCTGCAGAAAAGAAWCAAACTCTGTGAAAATCTGAGCATTTTTGCAAAGGTTCAAGGATCTCATGGACTGGATGAGTCTCCTCTGCAATGSCAATGGATTCTGAAGTTGCTCAGAGAAGTATCAAAAATATTAATCTAGGCCACCCCAGGAAGAAAGAGTCTACATTGAGAAGATGCCAGTCCCTCTCAAATTTTTAGATCAGGATGGATGTCCCATGTTGATAGGACATGGGACACTTTTGCAGACAACTTATATTGAAAGTGTTCTCTCTTGCTGAATCTTGAAGAACGTGAGGGTGGGTACTTAAAATACAACATGCAAAGGTCAGAGCAAGTAGATCAAACCTAAAATAAGAAAGAAAATAACAAGTAGCTTGAGTTTCTTTGAATCAAAGCTGTAGRCTGCTTTACTGTTATCTGAATGGGATCAGATATTGTTGGTATAGCAATATGCAAAAACCAGGTTAGACATGCACACAATGTGCTTTACCAGTTCGTGCATTGTAATACCACCAATCACCATTTCCCCTCTATGACCTTTCTTAAACAGTCAGTAATCTAAAAGAGGAGGACAAGGAATTTTTCACTAGATGAAGAAATAGAGGGTATTAATGCAAATTTTCATTCCCATGTTAAATAGGCACAACAGGGATGATAGAGCTGAAACTCTCCTTTAATACTGTGACCTTCCTTGAGGAATGCAATTATATATTTTACAAAAATTAATCCAACTGTAAGTGTCCTGAGATATCCAGAAGTGAAGCAAACCAGACTTTTGACTTGAAAAGGTCAAAAATTAAATTCTGTCAATCAGTGTCAATAATACTTAACCATATTAGAGCTGCTCTCATTTTTTTTCTCTCTTACGAACTACTGGAGGACCAGGTAAAAGAGATATGAAGAAGGCACTTGGAACAGCCACTTATAAACAACAGTAAAACCCAAAGTTAGGTGTAATCCTGTGGGCAAGGGCTCCCTCTGTGCAAGGACACTCCCTGTGACAGGACAGGGTGGCAGCAGTGGGAGGAAACACATAAAACAAATTAGCCCTCTCCCCTTTCCACCAGTAAATCCATCTAACAGCTGTTACCTATCCAATTTATACAAGTTCTTCTCCAAGATCTTTGATGTCCAGAAGACTGGAAAATCTAATAGTGTCTTGGGAAAAAGGATAACAAAAATATTGAGAAAGTAAAAAAACCACAAATAATTCTCTTATTGCAATACTTGCTGAGAAAGAAAGTTCTTCAGATCTGGTTAGCTAGCACACTCTTTTATAAACCAGTCATGAATGGAGAAAATTTACTATTCATGGCTACGGAAATAAAATTTAAAAACAGGACTTGCTTCTTTCAGCAATCTTGAGAACAATGATACATTTTCATTTGCTTTCCTAAGGACAACTAGAAAATGAGAGCATTGAGGCTTCTTCTGGAAGCCTGCAGTTTGCAGCCAAGGCACAGTTCAGCCCATTTGCCCAAGGACTTGATTCTCCATTACATCAGCCTTGGTGGAATGACACTTGTGCAATGAAGATGGTAATGAATTTTAAAAGTATCTTACGATATCTCTGGTTCTACTCTGTGGCCAAACTGGCCAGAAACACCACACTATGAGAGATCTGTGATCAGGCACCAAATGTGGAGAAGTCTGGCTGCTACCGGCCACACCAGGACTTCCCGGCTGGAGAGGTGGCATCGCCTGGGAGGCACCCTGAGCCCAACCCCCGCTGGGGATGACATAACCACTCTCTTTGGCTGCTGAAAGCATCTCTTTGGGATGTGCTACCCATGACATATGCCCCACAGTAGTTAAATAAGGAATGAGAGTCCTCTTGTGTCCCTTTTGCCCCAGACAAGGAGTTGCAGTGTTGCGCAAACCCGCCCTGCTCAGGGAGTGCCAGTGGGATGCTCTGCCGCTGCTCCCGCTGGGTCCATTGAGCTGCCCAGGGCTGTGCTCAGCCAGGGCTTGGCCAGGGGAGCAGGAAACAAACAGCACCACCTTCTGGGAAATAGGGAGGGGGCCAGTCTCCAGGCACCTGTTGAAACAAGATTATAAGATTTAGGGTGGGAATGCCAATGCGTTTTTCCCCGCACAGATCCTGCTGGCACAGCTGCAGTACCTAGCAGAGACTGTGCAGCTTCACAGAGAGTGGACCACTCTGGCTGCTGTAAAATCAGAATAGCCCTCATACCAGATCAGATGTGCAAAGTGAGAGGAAAAATATGAATTTTAAAGCTCTGCCTGTAGCACAGTCCCATCCACCTACCGCTCTTGTGCACACAAATCTCCCCAAAGAGTACCTTGGTTACACACCAGATAATACCCTCAGAGAGTTTTTTTTTTTCTATTTGGAGATTGCTCAGTACAAACTCTCATCAGCTTATTTCTGTTTTATATCACTGCAAAATCTCTCTCTGTTTTTGATGGGGAGGAAGGTGGAAGAAGGCGGGGGGCCAATCTTATATTTTAAGGGAAAGAGCCCCTCAAAAGTGCAAAATATTTCAAAGACAGACTTACAGTTTGTGAGAGTTCTGTGTGACTGATCTCTATAACTTGTACCACACTCTGCCTCCTTCACCCTCTGAWGCACAGTGAGAAAACTGGATTCAAAATGAGATTGCACCACGGTGATGTCCTGTTTTTGTCCTGGTTTTGCTCAGTCCTGTTATTTGGTGGTGGGGGGATGGGACCAAGAAACCACAAAGATGGCTCCTTTGACAAAGTTCTAGAAGCTTTCTCCTTCTCYAGCAAAAGGAGCCCTGCCCCCTGTATTTCAGAACCAATCATTGTGGCTCTGAGGTTGATGGACAGGCTGCTGGTCAGGCCAGGGCCAATTGCACACGCAGTTACACCTCTGTGATGGCATATGGTCTTGTACTTAAGAAGAATTCAAAACAAGATAGAGCGCGGCCGCCATTTAGTTTTTAGGTGTTAGTATCATGCACCAGGGAAAGACAGAGGAGGAGGGTGAGGAGATGTAAGGAAAAATGGAGACCCAAGATCACAGTAAGAAGACAGGTGGTGTTGCTTTTTTTTTTGCTGTGGTGCTTGACATGGAGGAAATAAGCTGTCCTCAAAAGGACTATTTCTTCAATGGGAGACCCGTATAGAAAAGAGAGGCCCTGCACCCGAGATAAAAATACCTGGCCTTTGAGGGCTGGACTGATCATAAGCCAAAAAAGAGGAAGAGGCTTGGCTCTCCGTCATGTTTGAAGCCAGTTGACGCTTAGAAGAAATTGCGTTCTGCAGGAGAAGAGGTGGTTCCTCCCCCCGCTCCCCCCCATTTCTGAAGCGAGCTGATGCTTAGAAGAAGTTGTATTCTGCCAGGAGATTTGAGAGAGTGGCCTTATGCTGCCAACGGAATGCATTTGGCCTTGGAGGACTGTTTCCCTTTCTCCTATCCCGTGCCATCTGCAGTTATACACTGACTGTTTCTTTGGAAAAGAACTTCAACAGCTTGGAGCTGTAGGGACTCTTCTCCTATGGTGCTGGACAATAACCATAATGAGTAGTCGATCTATGTTAAAGTTTTCATCCCTGCCCCCCTTGCACATGGAAAGGCATGGAGGGGTGGGGAGGCGCAACCTGGGAGAGACAGGTTCCCAGAAAGGATAACAGGTGTCTTAACATGCCCATTTTATTTCTTCTCCTTGTAATTTTTTCCCTGTGTCTGTTCCCCTCCCTGGTGCAGTAGTATTCTTGTAGTTTCTAGTAATAAATCTATTTTGCAACTCTAATTATTCAGCCTGACCATTTTCTGGAGCATATATGTATCTTTCTCTCTATTATGCTATCTAAAAGCCATAAATTTTAGTGTTAATTGGGCTTTTGCTCTCCCTTCTGCCTGTCCGGTGGGGGGAGGGAACGTCATGGGTGCTTTTGGCTTTCGGTCAAGTTCAAACCACGACATTTTTGGTGCATTGGCCAGGAAAAATCGAACTCAAACCACAACAGGTGAATTCATTCCTTGAATTGCATCGTAAGTTTCAGCAATACACAGCGTGGGAACACGTGGATTAGCTCTCACTTTGAAGAAATTGGATTTGCAAAGGTCAGCAGTGGCTCAGCCCGTTTCTCAGCAGATCTTTGGCTTGCTTTTCATTCCGGGACTAGCAGGGAGGAGGTCAGAGAGGAATGACAAAAAGAGCGAGCTTTTTGAAGAGAGCYGAAAGAATCTGACTGTGCTCCCAGCAGTGTGGAAGTTTCTTTTGCTCAAGGCTAATAAAAAGGTAGATTTTCAAACCAAATTTATGTGAATAACTTTCTGGGTTTACTTTACATATTAAACAATTTTTTTTTTTTTTTATAAACTAAGAAATGTTTTCCAGTGTAACTTTTGTTCTGGCAAGAGCCGCCTGAAGCTAATCTGCAGAAAAGCCTGCTCGCCCTCCCCCATCCCTCCCACTTTTTGTGCAAAAGGGTTCAGCYAGCCTGGAAAAATAAGGTGGAAAGAGGCAAAGCTCAGCCCCCAGTGGAAGTGTGAAACCCAGGGAGTTTGTGCTCGGTATTTCTCCTTTGAAACATATTTCCCAGTTGTTTAGTTTGCTCCCATGCCAGTGCAYTGAGACAGAGGTAGCTTCATTACCCTTTTGAGCCGGAAAATTCACAAAATATTTTGGCCTCTCTCTGCACCTTATTAACATWGACTGGACTTTCCTCCTGCTGCTGGCGGGCAGGGTGCTGGGAGTGTGTGATCAAGGCATTTCGGCGGCTGTCACCGACGCTCTGCTTAGGCTGGCGGTGAAGGATTCCTCCTGGATCCTGAACAGGGGTTTGCTGTCGTCACTTACACYGGAAAGCCACAAAAGAGGAAAGGAGGTGGGAGGAAAAAAGAAAGAGAGAAGGTTAGAAAGGAATCCAAAAATACCAGCAAGCCTGAGCTCCTTCACCTGTAAATATTAAACATTTCTTGCAGAAATGCAGTGCACCCAGACTGAAATATATCTCCCAGAAAACAGGGAATAATGGAATCATGTGTGTTGTTAGTGTATTTTTTTTGGCAGCACACCTCTGGCTTTAAAGCTTTGTGAAGCCTTGCAGTGTAGGGAATGAGTAGGGAGGGAGAGTAGCTCCAGTTCCTTTTGCAGRCCTCCTCAAACTGTAAAAATTTGCTTTTCCCTGGCTCTTCCAACAAGCAACATGGCACCATTCTGGCATAAAAATATGATTTAGAAAGTGTCCAGATCATAGAAGCCAAATCTTGATGTTCYGTTGGTTCCTGTTAAGTAGCCAGTACTTATCCAGGGGAATTTTCCTTGTCATTAAYTGAGCAATACTGGCCTTTGCCCTTCCTAATTTATTTGACTCAGAAAATTCTCTTCTGAGTCTGTCCCATGAATTCCCAGAGGTCTGGCTGCAGCAAAAGGTGCCAGCAGGAACACTGCAGATCCTGGGAAACCCGCTGGAGGAGGGGACATTTACAGCATGTGCAAAAGGGATGTAGGACAGAGTGTTTTAGGCAGATGAAGATGAAAAGAGAATGGTTATTGTTAAACTGACAGATGAGTGATGTTTCTGTGACCCAACAGGATGTAATAAATGCTGGGTTTATGCTTTTAGTGGAGAAATGGCTTGTTCACTGGCTGCTCTGTAGCTGCATCAGACCTCCACCAATATCTGATCAGCAAAACTAAAGAATGAGTCTGTGGAGAGCTGTTTGACAGCTCTGCCAAGGAGACTGTGCCAGCTCCTCTCACAAGGGTTGTTACCACAGATCCTGGCAGACCCTGGAATTTCTCATTACCTCACATACCACCAGCTCTTCAGATGTGCCTTCACTTTCCAKTTACACAGATGGAAGCAAGTAGGGGATCTGAGCAAGGTTCTGCAGCTAAAGGGATCTCTCTTCAGAAACAGCATTTTGTGCCAAATATGAGATCCCAGCTAGAGTTTTTTTAGATAATCCTGTCTAGGAACATAATTTTTAATTTGAGAGATTTCCACAATATTTGACCTGCAGAARTTTGTGATTGAAGGACACATACATCAATTTACAAATTTTTATGCGCCTAGTGCAGGTAAACACACACCTAACATGGAGAGCTTAGGCATTAGGAAATGTTTTGGGATTRCCTGTGCACAGACATTCATGGTCAGCCATATCCCATGGTCAGCATATCCCAGATCCAGCTTTTTTTGCTCTATTTAGCATRCTCTTGTCTCTGTTTTCATTTTAATACTCTCTTATGTGTGATGTTTTTATCAACCCTTAGTTCAGCATTCTTYAGTGGAGAAAGGCATTCTTGTCATTTTTTTTTTTTCAAAAACAAAGCAAAGAAAGTCAGGAGGTTAAAAAAGTACAGTTGAGGGTACCTTGCTGAACTGCAATAATAAAATAAAAGATTGGTCTGAACACGTATTTTTTTATTGAAAGAAAATGAACATAAATTACAGCAGCTGACCATGTAGTCATTCTTTTTATGAGGTGTTTCTCTATACCCATATATGATTTCCACATATAAATTCCCTGCTGGATTGAAAACTCACATGAAACTGGTTCTTTTCTTAATAAATTGTCCACAGCATCAGTATTTCATCTCAGAAGTAAAAAGTTCATTAGGGAAAAAAAAGCATCCCAGTGTCCTGGTGGAAACAGACACTATTCAAGCTAAAAAAAGATTTGCTGCTATAAAAAGATTTGCCTGCAGATTGTGTAGCCTTTTTCCTCTGCTTTTGTACTTAATTATTTTCCATAATTTAATAAAATCCACTATAACGTTGCATAGTATAATGGTGCCTGCAGTAACAGCCACTTAGTCCAGAGCAGAAAGAAGCAGTTCTGTTCCACTGAGGATTTCAGCATTTTGAGTTTTTAAAACTTCCTTGAAGAAAGGTGCCTAGCTCTGAAACAGTCTGAGCACAGAAACCCTGAAGTCCTCTGCTCTGAAAGAGCTTGTTTTATGGAATGCTCTCAAACCATGCAGTGGGGAAGCTTGGAAACTGCTCCTGTTTCCTCAACTGCTCTGCTTACTGAGGTCTCCTCACCAGAGAAAATCACTCCAACCAGAATCAGATGTTCCATATGGGGTGTTCAGTTGTAAATCTGAGAAAGCACTAAGAAGATGAAATTGTAAAAAATTGTCCTCAGAGCACACATGAAAATCCACATTGGTCATTCCTTCTGTTACTCCATGTAGAGAAGAGGAAATKCTGAACTAAACTGAATGGCCGTGCATTCGGGGTCATCTGGAAGCGCAGCTGTCTCCTCATGAAACCAGTGAGCTCAGCAGAGACCGGGTGAGGAACGTGCTCCTAAGAGATTCCCTCTTCCTGAGGAAAAYGCTTGGTTTGACAAGCAGCTGGATGTGCGTCAGAACGTGACAGAAGGGGGACGTTTTTAGCGACACTTCGCTGAACCACTGTGGCAGTGTGGTCCCCGAAAGCGCAGTTGCTTTCATTCCCATAATTTACTTTCATCTGTCTTTTTCAAAACCTTCCCTAATTAAGCTTAATTGCCATGCAGTCACACATTAGTGCAACATTCTGTCCACTTATGGACCACCCATAAAATCCTTCATAGCGTTAATCCCAGAAAGTGGTAGACTGCTTGTTTTGTTTTGTTTTCTAATGTGCATAAGTGCTTATAATGCACAGCAATGGCTTTTTGGAACTGATACTTGACTCTGATTATCATGAAAAGATTCTTAGTTTATGTCAGAAAATCAGAGAGGTCAGAAGGGTGTTTTGTTTTGGGAAAAACAAGCATTTGTGATGATTTGGAATTTAAGAACTTTGGTGCAGAACTCAAACACAGAAATTCCCACCTCTTTGTCATATTTAACTCCTTTTGACGACAGTTATGGGTCAGACCATAACAATTTGGGTACCTTCACCTTTTGTGAGTTAGTCAGGATCTCTGCATCCCCTAAGTATTCAGTGAGAGGYTGCCAAAAAGCAGTGATCCCATGACCTCAAACCCATGCAAAGTTKTTTAAAGATGGACAAAAGTTTAGTCTGAAGGATGCCTCTGAATAGTTTTTAGGAGCTGAACCCTAACAGAATATTTAGAAATAGCAAAACAAAATAACAGCACAGAATCTCAGGGAAGTCAGCTGAAATATTCTTGCAAGCAGCTGATTATTCTTTAGAAATACAATTTATCTGCGTGCAATAACTCACATAATGCAGAAGTCAAGAYGACCCTTGAATTTCTCGGATGCTGAAACAAAAGCGGTGAGTAGTAGGTACCTCAGAAGAGAGTTGAGTGGGCTGAAAATTCACATGGCTGGAAGGACAACAAACAAAAGACAAGAAGGAAGTAGTGTTATAATAAAATCAAAACCTCTGTAGCAAACAGACAACACCACAACTTACAGCAGAGAGACATAAACATGAGGAAATTTCAGCCTCACTTACTTTGGTGAGTGACTCAGGGATCACACCATATGACGAAAAACTTAATTTACCATTTGCATTGACAGGGTTTCTGGGCTCTGTGGGACAATGCCAATATTTTTGCCACTGCTAGAAATACTTTTCTTAGTCCAGAAATGAAAAAAAAAAAAAAAAAGAGAAAGGGAAGAAAAAAAATTAGTTCCAAATAAATATTTCTAGATGAGTAGTAAGTGATCTATTCCTTTCCAAAGCTTTTAAGCTTTGTAGGATGTGTATATCAGAAAGGGAAAAATGAAAGGAGAAACACCAAGAGCTCTCTAACAAGCAAGGACTTGTTGCACATGCAAGTTATTAGCTAAATTTGTCCAACATACACAGTGCTAGAGAGATGCACATTCTGTGAAAAAAGTAGGGCTCCTACATTAATGCCTGTGAGACAAAAGTAAAATAGAGAATAGGAGATACATAAATTATTGTCTGTGAGTTCAGAGGCAAGTTCTGATGATGCTTTAATATTTTAATGTCAGGGAAAAGAATTCTTTTCAGTCACACCTTTATGAATTTCGAAACTGAGCAAAAAATTCCCCCCTACTTATAGCTTAACTGGTTACTATAAAAACRAAAATATATAATTTTTATTATTTAATAAAAGCAAGGAAATTCAAATGATGCCAAATTTCTTCAAAATTTCTTTCTTAAAGGCCACACACATAAACCCTCATTGTTATTAAAGTTGATACTATCTTTGTCCCTTATTTACTGTCCAACCCCAGCATTCTTTCTGGATGGCARCAGCACCAGGCAAACACTTATGGGCAAACTGAAATGACAAAMAAGCAAGCAAAACAGAGGAAAGAAAGTGAAAAGTGTGTATTGGAAAAGTTCTGCTTGCCCTGACATCTCTGCTGCAGGATGCTGAGGGTATCAGAGCATTGAGTTAGTCCTACAATTAATTGGTCATTGCAGAAAAATCTGACAATTGTTAAAGAGAACCACCCAACTCAAATGTTGGGGTGAGTTATAAATGTTGCAATCCTACTGACACCACCAGCATCACTCTCAAGGAGAAATTGGAGTTGTATTTTCCTTTTGTCTAGTGGGAGTCATTCCTTCAGTTTCAAATTCTCTTCCAAATGTTGACATGTCTCGATGGCATAAACATAACAATCCTGGAGACTACCAAACAAGAGAGGCAGGCTGGTTTGATACAGGGCTTCTGCACYTCAGGTCCTCAGTGTCTGGGGTGCAGCCTAACTCAAAGGCTAAAAGCAGCAGGGTTAGGATATGTGTGTTGTGGAATATGGCAATGTGGAATGTCTTTGTGGGTATTTACACGCAGAAAACTTGGTGCCATCTCAGTGATTGTTTCTATGCATCTTTCTACTTGCTTTCCAAAATAAGCAAAATACCCAATCCCTAAAAATACTGACTGCTAAAAAGTACACAGTTCCTCAGGGAAACAAGATTTCAACATAGTTGTGCCACATGAATATTTGCCTGTCATCGGTTTGCTCTTTCCCCCCAGTTTTCGCTCCATTTTACAGAAGGGCAGAGGTCTCAGTGAGTTGAGTTCTGACAAGTCCCATGTAAACTGGGGACAGCCGATGGCTGCACACGTAGCAGTGTCACCCTGGTCATGCACACAGAGCTCCCTGCCAGGCACTGCCAGCACGAAGGACAGCCAGGGCTGGTGGTGGAGGAGAACTGGGGAGCAGACAGTGAGGCACAAGAGACAGAAATCCATAGGAAATGAGTCCTCTTTAGCTTGGCTGCCCGTGGGCCAACTYGTTAACTGATTTTATACAATATTTTCCCTCTCAGTTCTCGAGTTCTACTGAAAACTATTTTTCTGGYCAGCGATGCTTTCCAGGAACAGGCTGAAGTGCTTGCTTCAAAACTTTGGACAGAATCATTTACTTGCTGAACAAGAGGGCACAGCAAACAAGCTTTTTCTTATGTTTTGCTTTAACCTTGCTGATACCTTTTCAGTACACTATGAACCAAATTCCTCATTTCACTGCTTTAACAAGAGTGCMGATATTGACATCTCCAATCCCACTTTTCCAGGTCAAGATCATATTTCATTAGAGACCAACTGAGCCTGCAGAACTCTATTTTCTCATAAATGCCAGTTTCACTGATCTCACTGGGAGAGCGTGTGTGGTTTGGGGGCTTGGTACCTACCTGTCTATGTACATATTTATATTTAATTCAGAGAAGCAGCTACCCTGATGGTTATAATTCCATWCCATATCTAATTGGTTACAATGTCCAATACAAAGCAATATTTAATACAGACCCTGCTCCTGCAGACTCATTTTGATCAAATGAAGTCAGTCAGTACTCCTGAGAGAAACAGAAATCCAGAGACACCAACAAATCATGATTAAAAGTGCAGGAAGCCTCAATAGGGAATTATTGTAGCTTTTCTACTTTGTTTTGCTTAATAAATATTTAATTTTGGCTACAGGCAGGAACAAGAATAAGTTGAGACTTAAAGAAAGCATTTGTTCTAATGAAAGTATTTTGTTTGCTAACAGYAATACCACCCAGTGAATAACAAAAGAACTGTGAACTCCATTGATTTAACGAAACCCCAGAACTGTCTGGGAAACCAAATATATATTTAGGCAACATCAGATGCGCCCTAGGATGGTAACACACATTCATGATTCTCTACAGTGATACCATTTCACAGCTGGTCTGGATGAAATGTACTATTTAGAAATTYGTCAACATCCAGTCCCTAAGGATTCCCCAGGATCTAAATACCTGCAAATCTGGGAAATCTAGTCCAGACAAAAAGAAGCACCTTTCCACCTGGAAGGAAATAATAAATTCTCTCATWGCTCAGCCAGTGAGTGTCTGGGGCACTTTGAATACCCCTGGTGGAGACAGCAGGCAGGAATAAGGCTTCTCACTGCCCACCCCTGCACCCTCCCTGGCAGTGGTGGGAGCCAACCTCTGCACTCTGCCACTTTTGGCATCCAGGTAAGGCAAAAATTAGTTAAATTAATTGATAAACTGTCAATGCTTTTTGCATCTTTAAATTTTGTGCTATGGCTGTGATGCAAACCTGTGAGCAATGGTGCCTGATGKTCAGTAACTAATATCCTGCTTCATCTTTCCAAAACTCACATTTTTGAAAGATGACCTCAAAACTGAAGTTTGAGTTAGCTGCAATAGCAGAAAGAGGATTTCTGCTATTGTTTGCTCCCAAGCCAGGAAGGGTTATGCTCCTTTACCAGAGGAAAACTAGCTGATGCAGTTTCTGACACACCTGGAAGTCCATTTGCTTCCTCTGTTTCCAAAAAAAACTGAGATCAATTAACAATTCCTATCTTCTAATAACAAGGAAAAAAATGATCTGCTACCGTAGTTTGGGAAAATATAAACTTTGATGACCTACTTCTGATTCTGTTTCAGAGTTGCTGTAATGGTTTGCCTGCTGTCCTCATTGTAATGGTTTGTACCACTGCCCAGGAAAAATCTACTGCAGCAGCGTACTTATTCATGATGAAAATTCCACATGAGTAACACTCAGGAATATCAGAACCAGTCTATGCAAATGTACTTAGAATTAAAATTTTCAGAAACAAAACCAAAACAAATACCCCCACAACTCTGTCTTGACCTTAAGAAGCATAGGAGTGTTACCAGCCTAGCAGTRTATAACTTTCATATCTAAATATGTATGTATCTCTGTGTAAATATTCATCTGAAGAATTTTATCTGCCTTAAGAATATAAAACAAAATATTCCAAGAGCAGTCCTTCGGCCTTTAGGAAGACTTCAATAGTTAAAAATAGCCCAGAATCCAGAACGACATCACAATGCCAGCAAAAAGAACATTTCTTGCTTTTGCTGGAGCCATTGCCCAACTTCCCAGCACCGACCCCTCGCTGTGCTCTAAGGGTGACAAAGGGCAGACGGGAGCCCCGGAGCACAGCTTTAAGACGTGCCAGGCTCTGCCGGCTGGAACCACGCTGCTTC